GCGGCGGCACAGGCAGGCTGGGGCTGGTGCGCATTCTTCAGCAGCTCGGCCTTCTCGACCACGACTGCTGGGAGGAGGAGCTGCGCAGGGCGGTGGACAGCTACCGCGAGTCCAGGCGCTGGCTGGAGGAGCGGGGCGACTACAGCAGGCCCCTCCCAGGCGCGCCCATCGCCTACGGCTATCCCGAGACGGAGAATAGCATAGGCGACGTCGCTCCCCTACCACCAGTGCTTTGCAGGCTTGCCACCTGCCCAGTGGACGCGGGGGGGTGGGGTGCCATCGAGGTGGGTGAGGCAGGCGTCAGGCGCGCACTGGCGCGACTGGCCAACGGCTGGCTGCCGCACCTGCACGCCCCCGACGCGCAGCAGGACAAGGTAGAGTGGATGGACCTCTGCACGCACTACGCCTACGAGCGCCTCAGCCAGTACGAGGGTGACAATATGGCGACGAGGGTGAGCAGGTCGGCATCACAGAGGGCCAGTCTGACGGGGCGGGGATGGGAGCCGCATCTGCGGACGGGGACAGCGTGATCCCACCCCAGCCTCAAGTGAACTCCTTCGCGAGCCTCGCAGCGGCAGCGGCAGCCAGCAGTGCGAGTGCCACTGGAGAGGGCGTCAGCGATGCGTCGGCGTCGGGGGCGGGAAGGGGAGCCGCATCTGCGGGGGGTATCAGCGTGATCCCACCCCCGCCCCCTCGCGCCAGCTCGGCTCGGCCGTTCGGCGAGCGAGCGGCAGCCCGCTGGGCTCGGGCAGCCGACATCTGCGAGGACAGCTGGCAGGCCTCCGAGGGCGTGCGCAACAAGTACGCGCGCAAGGTCCACGAGTTGGAGGCCAGCGACCCCGACGCCTGGGCCATCGCTGACGACGAGCACTACTGCTACCTGCAGGGCGTCAAGCAGTTCATGCGGTACCACGGCGGCAGGCGCGACGGCAGCGACTGCAGCTCCGACGGCGACGTCAGCAGCAACGGCGACGGAGCAGCGCAAGCGAGCAGCAGGGCGCCCAAGCCCCCGTCCACGGTGGGCCTTCCCCACGGCGCCCAGTGGGCAGCACGCGTGGCCCTGGCCGCCGAGTGCCCCAGCCTGCTCCCCTTGGCCGACTGGGCCGCTGAGGCCAGGGCCGAGGCGGAGGCCGATGGAGCAGCCTTCGCCGCCATTCGAGGCCAAGGCTTCAAGGAGTGGATCCGTCACTCCATGGCTGAAGGCGCAGGCGGGCTCCACGCCTATCGGCGCGGGCCCAGGGCATGGGCCCCTGACGACGAGTACAACGGGGCCCCAGCCCATGCCCCAGACCGAGTGAAGGTTGTGGCGAAGCAATGGTCAACAGAGGTCTGGCGGGTCAGGCGAGACCGCGACAGGTTTCGGCCGCAGCTCCCGCGCTCTGGCGGCGAGGCCCTCCCCAGGCCCTCAGCCGATGAGCTGCGCATGGCCGCCAGGACCTTCAGGCACGGCACTGGCGTCGGTAGCGACCGCCTCAACCCGCGGAAGGCCGCGGACCTCAGCGACGAGCTCCTGGAGGCAGTCGTCGACTTCGGGATGAAGTGCGAGGAGATCGGCGGCTGGCCTGACGTCATCACGGACTCGCTCGTGGTCATGCTTCCGAAGCCCCAGGGCGGGTTTCGGCCCATTGGGCTGCTGGGCTGGTTCCCTCGCCTCTGGAGCCGAGTCCGTCAGCCCGTGGCGCGGCGCTGGGACACGCAGATTGACCCTGGCGTCGCAGGCGCCTTCTGGGGGGGGGGCGCGGCCGCGCGGCCGAAGAGGCCGTCTGGTGGCAGGCCCTGCGCGCAGAAGCCGCACACGCACGTGGAGAAGGAGCAGCAGCGGCACTCGTCGACCTATGGAAGGCCTACGAGCTCGTGGACTTGGCCATCATCCAGGGCCGTGGCGTCCTGGCTGGCTACCCTCGGGGCCTGCTGGGCATGGCCCTCACCCTGTGCGCGGGGGAGCGCCGCTTCATGCTTGACGGCAGCGTGTCCGAGCCCTACCTGCTGGATGCGGGACTCATCGCGGGGTGCTCGCATGCGGGTCGGCTCCTCAAGTGCGGCCTGCTGGTGCTCGCGGACGAGCATGCGCGGCTGTGGCGGGCGCTCGAGCCCAGAGTCACCCTCGCCATCGTGTTCGACGACTGCTGCGTCGGCTGCCACGGACCGATGGCACAGGTCGCAGCCTACGTGGCCCAGGCGACGAAGGCGGTCATCTCGCAGCTGGAGGCCCTTGGCTGCAAGGTCTCAGCAGCAAAGAGCGAGCTGCTGGCCAGCTCGCCAGAGCTGGCATCACTGGTCGCCAAGCTGATGGGTGGCATCGCCTTCCCCATCGCCGACTCGATCAAGAACCTGGGGGTCGACTACTGCCTCGACGGCCAGGCGTTCGTGGTCCTCGAGAAGCGGCGCGCGAAGGCGGCATCCCAGCTGCAGAGGTTGCACGCCATCCGCTCGCAGGAGACCCCAGCAGCAGCTCGAGTGGCGAACACTGGTCTGCGGCCTGCTACTCGCTATGGGCTGAGCGTGGTGGGTTGGCCGACGTCGCAGCTCAACAAGTGGAGGAGACAGGTCAACGCCGTTCACCACGGGCGCGGCCCAGGCAAGAGCCTCAGCCTCAGTTTCCTCCTCAGCAAGCGTCTACACAGCGACCCGCTGTACGACCACGTGGCGCTGCCCATTGTCGCATGGGCCAAGGCGGTGCAGTTCAACTCAGATAGTAGGGACCTGAGGGCCCTGGGCAGCGCTTTCGCGGGGGCCAGGACGTTGCTGGCCAGTGGCGGGCCTGAGGCGTTGGCTGGACGCGGGCCAGCTGCTGCGTGCGTGTTAGCCTGCCACCGCCTGGGCTGGACCGCCACACTGCCAGGGCTGCTCACCAACGACAAGCAGCAGCTGCTGGACCTACGGACCCTGGGGGCCTCCACGCTCGCCAAGCACATCGCCGCTGGCCACGAGAGGGCGCTGTGGCGAGCAGCGAGCAAGCACCCAGGGCTGGAGCATCTGCGCGATGGAGGCGCCCTGTCCAGCATCAGGCGCACACTGGCACGCAAACGCATGAGCAAGCAGAGGGCCAAGCAGATGAGCTCGGCCAAGAACGCGCTGGTCGGATGTCTCTGGCCCGTGGCGCGGCGCTTCTTTGAGGAGCGCCCATTGGCCTCCTCTCCTTGGTGCCCCAGGGGATGCCCTGCGCACGGCACCGTGCGGCACCTGGCGTGGCAGTGCCCTGCCACCGAGGCGAGCCGCGCCGAGTGGATCTCCAACGAGGAGGCGGACGAGCGGCGCCCCCCTGGCGACATCCCCTTTCGCACCATCGTCGGTATGGCCAGCATCGGGGGCGAGGAGGACCCGCTGTGGTCCCGCGCTCTTGCGCCCGAGCACCGAAGGACCCTGCCGCCGCCCACCGACACCAGGGAGGCGCGGAAGGAGGGCCGTGCCGATTTGGTGGGGCAGCCGCTCTCGGGCGACCTCTTCACGGACGGGAGCGTTCTGGACCCCAGCCTCGTCTCGGCGCGCGGCGGCTGGGCGGTCGTCGTCATGGGGCCCGACAGCGAGGCAGTCAGCCTCTTCGGCCCGCTCCACTGGCCGTACCCCCAAGAAGCAGGGGCAGCGGAGCTCGCGGCGGCCATCGAGGGCATCCAGAGCTGTTTACCACCTGTGCGGATCTTCACTGACTGCCAGCTGCTCGTGGACGGCTTCGCGGCGGGCAAGGC